AAGCCTTTCGCTTGTACTCACACTCCTTGTGTGTACTTTAGAAGTAAAACCACACATAAAAAGGCCAGGAGGACCCCTCTAAATGGAGAGTTATAGAAAGAACTGTTTTTTTCCCCAGATTCAAAGTGAATACATTTCTGGGCAAATGAACTCAAGCCTTTTATCAACTTGTTTCAATGTGAAATATCCCTGTACATAGTGGTCTGAAAGCAAAAATTATCCTCATAAACATTGCCAGGTGTATTGGTGTGCATGTTGTAAATTAATATGTGGTACATGGGTGTAAAAAGGCAGTGTATTATCAATTCAGCTTAAAATGATCAAACCAAGAAAAGCTTTTCTAGTTCTCTGCGCTTACGTTCATTTCTACACTGATTTGTGATGTAACCTCTCTTAAATGTTGATTCAGTGGGGACACATTCACATAGTTGAACATCTAATCAATCAAATGTTTGCAAAATAAACTCCCAAACTATAACATCATAATTAATATTTGAGCTACTAGTGCCTATTTACTCTTCTACGGATCACCTTCGCTTGAGCTCACATGACCCTGATGATAAAACCCTGAATAAATTAAAAGGAAGTATTTTTCTCTCACTCACACCCATCACATAGGATTCAAGAGCTCCTTAAAGTGCTTGTCCCCAGTCTGGGTCAGCAGTTCTCCTCCCTGAGTCAGCACAGCCTGAACCAAGCCTTGCTTTCCCTTCCTGGGTCCTCCAAATGGTTTACCAGAACAACCTTGAGGCCAACCAAAAGTCCTTCCCCATAGCCTCCCCGAACTACTCCCATACCCGGGTTTTTGCTTCTGGCCCCTCAGCATCTGTCTGTTGCTTCAGGAAAACCTCATGACCAACCAAACCTCCTTCTTCAGCTCGACAACTACCTCTACCACTGGTGTCCATGTTCTGGTTTAGCCACAATGTCTGCAACATGGTCAAATTGACCAGAACATTATTCAGATTATATAAAATTGCCCAGCTATACTTAATTTATTTTTTCACATGTTCATTACAACAAAGCAGGCAAGGAAATAAATGATTTGTGTCTGAAGGAAATGTCTTTAATACTTTCTCGAGTGAAACAGGTCAGTTTGACCTGAAACATAATAAGAAGTTGAACGTGTCAGTTTTGTGAAATTGTCCTATTGACTAGTGCACAACTGAATGTGGTTGTAGTCAGATCACTTAGTGTCTGACACTTCTTCAATCGCAGCCCTCCATTACTCGTATCTTCATTCATCCTCATTACCTACCATCTTGTCTGGTACCTTCCTACCCCAATCTGGACATTAGAGACTAGTGTAACCTTCATATCCTGACAGCTCAACTCTTAAGAGGCACTTCTGTAATAAATTAACTCTCCCCCATGCTACTAATCACTCTCCTATCTTCCCTTTCTACTTGACTCCGCTATCATCTTCTGTTCAAGAGAAACACTTATTTACTTTTTTAGGGATTCATTACCACTCTGACTACAGTGACGATGACTAATAGAAGAAATTAGGTGCAGAGGGGATAAATTTAGTCATGACCAGCCTAGGAACTCAGGAATATGACTTGCATTATTATCAGGGCATGATGACTTAACTCCTTACTATTAGCTACTTTTAATGCTAGCAATTTCAAAGAAATAAGCTTAAAATACTTTTACACATAACTCAGGACGATGGTGAATGCATTAAGCGTAATTGTGTAAATGTAGCAAGAGCACGACAGCAGGAGAGATTTAAATTCCAAAATATAGATGTACTGAAGCAAAATGATGTGTCATGGTTTCAAGTATGTAAGTGAGATTATGAGAATTATGGAGTTCACTGCATTTTTTATCATAATGTATGTTTGAGAGTGTGTAGGAGTTATCTATGCTGACAAATGTTTGTTCCTCTTATCTAGACACAGATTATGTAAAGGCAAATCAAATCTCAGCAGACACTAGAAAGGACAGACATTTCTTTTTAAATCAGGAAATTTAAAACAACAAAACATGGTTTACATCTCATCAAATACTGTATTCACACCTATGACATACGGTAAGGTCACGTGACCACAAGACCTTTGATGTACATGTGAAATGGTGATATAACATACATTCACTAGAAAAACCGCAGAGGTTTCTTTAATTGAGTACTTTTATGCTGCTTTATGCTTTTATACCAGATCTGGAATCAGGTAGTAAGCTAATAGCACCTACATTTTGCAGTTTTCTTTTAACAACAAATAAAACTACCTGTGCATGAGGCAAAGCAATAAATCCTCAAGATTTGAGGCAGACCAGAACATAAGAGTGATCAGAACAGGCATACAAGGCACAGAGTAGGGATAACAGGGTGGCACCATTCACACTATTACAAGTCACTGTAGCATTAAAATGACAATAAAGCTGTTATTTTAAGGTAGAAAAACTACATAAAGTGGCTATAAAATGCTTGTTTTGTGAGTTCAGATTAATCAGGGCTTTACTTTGTTCATAGTGAAGAAAAAAACATTTTCAGCAGTTACCAGGTAGTGAAACTTATTTTCTGTCTCCGTATAAATGTAAAGTAGTATCGTAGAACTCTGAGTGCCCACAGACGGAGACAACAGTGCAATAATGCACTGGCACTGCACACACATGTACCCTGACAGGTACATGTAGAGATGTGCATAGACATGACAAGACACACATATTAAATTCAATTGAAATATGACCAAACATTTGGTATAAAACCTTTATGATGTAATATGGCTCAAGTGAACTGGCCAGTAAGGGCAGAAATGAGAGTTAAATACCTGAAGAGATGCCCAAACAGCTGTTACAAGACTGACCTGAGTGCAGACACTAAAACCTCCACCTGCAGCAGGTGAACTCAACCATTCTTCTGCTTCAGAACCAAAAGAATTCAAAGTGACATCTGGCATTTTGGTGTTCAGACAGACCTATTTTAAAATAGTTTTTTCCTAACTTGACACTTAACACACTGTGTCATGAAAACGCAAGGTCAGCATCTATGTGCGGGATTACACACTCAAGCAAGAGGACTGTTGCTTTCATATATTTTAGGATGAGCAATTGTATAGCAATTTACCAAAAGACTAATTCACAGGAAGTCCACAATCAGTTGTTTTATTTTAAATGAAAAATCTCTGTTACTTTACTACGTTGAGGAGTAAATGGCAGTTTTACTTACCAATATATTCAGACTAATTTGTGACCTTGTTTCACCTTTGAAGGGCACATTTTAAATGTTTTCTAATGGGAAATTATGTCAACCACAATGTGAAAATTAATATTTAAATATATTCAGTGGCCATAATCATCTTTTAAATCCCACAGAAGTGTTGCATAATGGGCTTGTTTACACTTGTTTTATCTGGGGGATGAGAGATTGAAAGCGTGTAGGCGTGCCGTGGACTGTGTTGGTGATAATAGTGTGTGTAGGAGGGAGGGCAAACAAACAATTATTTGCTGGGCTGTCCTGCAATACATTCAACTGAATTAGCACCACATCCATCCAATGCAAAGAATCTGACATTATTTTAACTAAAGGATTAGTCTGGTTGTATTCTATATGTTTTTATTACAACAGTTAACTGATCCTACTGACTAGAGCCTGATATATTTTATTCCTCTGTGCCATAGAGCTCCATTGTTGACCAAAAAACACACAAATGATCCACAGTTTTGCACTGGGTGGCATGGCAATGATATGAGGAACAAGGGCACTGTTGTTTTTGATTTATAATTTGGAATTAATCAAATCCTGCTCCTAGAAATACTTACTACTAGTAATCTGTAGCTGAAATAGTCCCAAGTCAATGCACACATTTTCTCTCATTTGCCAAAAAATACAGTGCCCTGTTGTTTTAGGAAAATAGTTTATAATAATTTTACAGATTTTTTCGTAGGAACCAATGGACTTGGAGCTGAGACTGCAGACAGCTGGAAAGGTTGGTGTTGCTTACATTGAGTATGGCAAGTTGATTAAAAGCAACAGGATGCTGACTGCAGTTCACTGAAGATCCACTGGTGTCAATAATAACAAGGATTTTCTGAAACTTCCTCATAGTGCCTTTAATTATAATATAGTAAACTGGGCCCAAAACTGGTAAAAAAAAAAAAAAAAAAATAATATAATATTTATACACCAGGAACCTGTAAATGCAGGACAGAAATATAATAAGAAAGCTCAAAACTTTTACAATAAGATTGAAAATACAAATCAACCTCAAAGCTTGAATGAATACTTTTGTTTTATAGTCTAGGAGAAGCATTAAGGGACGGAAAACACTTCTTCTTCCTGTTATTGCAGGACAGTTTAACCAGGGAAATCTAGGTGAGAGCAACACAATCTTTTTTTTTCTCCAATTAAATCTATTTCAGTCCTAAATGGGAACATGGCAGATGACGAGGAGACAGTAAGCCTTCGGCCTCGTTGTAGGCAAAGCGATGACAATCAATACCAGGAATGTTGTTGTATTTTGTTGTTGTTGTTGAGGCCTTAATACTTTTTTATAGTCATATCCTCAAACTGCAACCTAGTGTCAGACTATTCACACCATCACTGTGTCACTATAGGTGATAACTTACACCTCCTTTGTGTCTGTTTCCAGTTTCAAACAATACACTTCCTGATCCGAAAACCTCTGAACACTCATCCACTGAGCAATCTGGTCCCAGAACATTTTAAAGCTTCCGTTGTATTGTTATTTGGTTTAGTTTGATGTTTTAGGAAGGATCACAAATGTCATTAAAAAACATGACACATCCAGTTATTATAAACCTGGGCCTCTATTAGAGCTATGAGTCATACAATGAGTTTATAAATAAAAGCTGAGGTTTTTTTTTTTTTTAATACTAAAGCACTGCAGATAATAAACCTATGAATAGCAAACAACACAATAAATTTACTTCCAAAACAGATATAAAGTTTTTAGTATATACAGTTATAAGCATCCAGCTCAATTCTCATACCCTCTCTCATACGTGTATTTAAAAAAACAACATTTATGAACACGTTTGGCATCTTTCAGCTTTTATTAGCAGATGGTTGCATGGCCAGCATGAGTATCAAAACAAAAAAAATACATTCCTCAGGTTCTCCGTTTGTTGTAGTGACAAAACATACTGTACAACACACACTTCAAACCCAAAAAGCAAACGTATCAAATATTTCCATCCATTTAATTGCACATGTGATGTGTATCATGCATTATCACACACACACACACACGTATTCATATGTGACTAAAAAGACAAAAGCAGACTTGATTGGCACCATTTGAAGCTTCTCTTAATACACTGCATAAAATACAGCAATAATACTCACATAAGCCTGTGCAATGACAAAATGAAACACACTCTTGCATTGACATTTGCAAAAAGCTTCTGAACGTGAGGGGACAAGAACATTAGAACAGCGTACAGAGACATATGCAGACAGAGATTTCAATAAGAAATTAAGTAAAAGACATAATTAAGGTCCAAACATGCTTACAACACCAACTCTGCAGTCCAATAAGCCATAGTGGGGTTCTGACCGTGCAGGACAAACCCAGTGTGGCCATCAGGGGAGATCAAGAAAATGACAATGACGCCATCTAGAGGCAGATCTGAGGTATTTCATCAACACGGCTCTTAAAGCTTTCCCATGTATTTCAATCCCACTATGCACAGTCCCTGGCCTCATGTTTAATCTCAGGTTGAGGCTTCCTTTAAGATACCACAGGCCATCACGAGTCCTCTTCGTTGTAGAAAAAGACATAGTAGAAGAGAGCGCTGACCACGAGCAGAGCGACCGACAGCATCATGTTCTTCCGATTCTCTCCTCTTAACGTCTCCAGCTCCCTGCCTAGAAATGAAAAACAAAAAAAAGTGATGCTAGATTTATAATAAGCAATTTTATAGGGACACTTTGACATGTGGACAGTGGGACCAGGGTTAGGGTTTGAGAAAGTGATTGAAGGCTCAACGGCAATAACCTCACAGCTAAGTCATTGTTTGAGTCACTGGAGTTGCTGTCATTGTCACCGGCTACTGTTAGCCCTCCTCTTGATGCTGTTGAGCCTCACACCAGCGTGGATGATTTAGGAGAAGATGAGCCTAAACAGGTCAGACTCCACACCTACATCATGAGCCTGTTCTCCTGCAGCCTGGTACCAGAGGAGGAGAGAGTGGCTGGAGCACTCAGAGAAAGGTGATGTCTGTCACCTAACTGATTTATCCTTTAGTTTTTTTTTTTTTTTTGTCAGATTATTAGAAAAGTACTATTTTTGTGATTTTCTTGCCCCTCACTTGCCAGTAATTTGGTCCAACACTGCTCTATTGTAAAAAATATATATACATTCTTGTACATGCCTACAGTGGTTTGCACAGTATGAATGAACAAGTTATGGCTACTGACTTACCTAACTTTTGCACCCTCTCATTCATGATCGTCATTTCATCTTCCAGCTCCTGCCTGTGGAGCACAGAGGAAGAGACAAGAAGCATTCACTCTCTGTCACAATATCCACCATCCTCCTCCCTCCTCCTCCTCCTCCTCCTCACCTGTCCTTGTCAGACAGCTCCTCTTTCCTGCTCCTGAACTCTGCCCTCTCCAGGTTGTCTTGGCAACGCGTCCTCCTCTCCTCCAAACGGTCAATCTACATTATTTTCACATGTGAGATGAAGCAGCTGCTTTAGTTTGAGTTCAGTGGAGTTATATTGCACTAATGTTAACAGAGAGAGTTAGCAGGACGTGAATGTGAGCGGATGAATGAATGAAACGTCTTACCTCGGTGGCGACACTGACTTTCTCTCGTCTTTTGTCTTTTAATTTGGCCATTTTGTTCCCAAACTAACTGCGGGCCACCTGGCTGAGAGCTGAGGTGGACAAACTGGGACTATGCGGAAGGGTTTCTCTTCTTCGTCGTGTTAAATGTCTTCCTATTGACACACCGCTGCTCTGAGGCTTTGCTGCCCTCTATCGGTGAACACTTATCAATACCTGAGAGCTGAGGTCTGCTCCTGCATCGATAAACCTTCTTCAACCCTCGAATAACTGGAAAATGAAAGTTATTGTATGCATATTTCAGTGTGATGCTGTCTGTGGTTTATTTTTCTCTCTTATATTTTATATGTATTGTGATTTTTATGTACTTTTTTTGTTATGTCTATTTTTTTTATTCTTTGTTAATATTAGTAGGTTAAAATGATATTTTTTTCAATGCCCATTTACTTGTGCAATACAATGCAACAGTTGTACATTTGAAATTTAATAAATAAAAACACAAAACAAAACAACTTTTTCATATTTAGACATAAAATAGTCAGTAAACACAGGTTTTTACCAGTGGTACTAATTAAGATTATGTTACATTCAGGTCAAACAGAGTCAACTGTCCACTTAAATCATGCTATATAACAATAAAACATATGGATTATGCACCAGCAGCCACACTGAATCAGGAATACCGGGATGAAACATTTAGACTGGATTTAGTTCTCAGAAGTTACACAAAAAGTGATCACATAAGCAGAGCTAACGTTATATGTGTGGAAATATTGCTTTGTGCAGCAATAGTCTGACTTAGCGGCCCATGTTATCTCCCAGACTGCACTCTGTCACCCTCCTCCCCCCTGCAGACAGGTGAGCAGAGTTGACAGTTAATCGGATTATGACCTGAGAGGACAAGGCTTGATCAGCTGGGGAAGGAACGGGACGAGGCCATCCATTCTCTTCTCTACTAGTTTATTTCCTTTAAAGGGAGAGAAAAAAAATGCCTCTCTTTATAAACCGGGACCAAATATTTGCACACCAGGTGCACCTGCTGGAGCACAAGCTGAGGGTGAGGAAGTTTAAAGTGTGAACTTATTATTAGAGATTGTCCAGCAACTTGTATACCTCTCAACCATTCGGTGTTTTCCATATAACTCTGCACACATATGTTCAATACTGTTTCTAACAACCTTGTGTAATATTTCCAGAGTAAAGAGGAGCGAATACTGGAACTAGAGACAGAGAATGCTATTCTTCATTTAAGACTGGCCGAGGTAAGAAGATTTCTTGCCATTCATTACAGGCTTAAACCTACAGGCCTCCCTAATTATTCTCTTCTGTTCTAGATGATTGTGTTAGATTTATTTCTTGGTCTCCTGAGTTGCTGAATTATTTTTTGTGCCATTTTTGTGTGTGTGTTTTCTTCTTTTTTTAACATCTGGATGATTTAATTTCACTTGAATGTGCATCCAAGTGGCCCACTCTATATTTGATTATAATCACTGCTGAATGGGGCCATATTTTTTTGTGGACAGTAGAGATCAGCTGAGTCTGAATGGGAGACAGATGCATGAGACAGCTGGTTGATACTGTCTGATGAAGATGCCAACAGCCAACAGATGTTTACTAATTGCACCTACATGCTCTATTTCCCATATTTTCTCCAAGACTCCATTTTTTAGTAGAATGGGCAATCCTTACAGTACAGTGTGTCTACAGTATGTTGTATTATGATAATAGAGACACAACTTCATCCCAGTAGACTCTCTTTAGGTGCTACTCAAGTCCAGTACATCAACACAGAGGAGTTGTAAGCAGATAACTCGTATTAGCCAAAGTAATGTGTGTTATAAGGTGTTTAACTGACGTGTAATTAATAACATTAATTAAGGGAGTCAGCTCCAGGGTCCTGATGTTGTGTAAGCTTGCTCCCAGCCGTGGCTTGCTTGGGAGAGATAAAGTGGACATCAGTAATGTTATTGATTACACCTGTAAAGGCGGCTGTGATCGGGTGGTAGAGCGGCTCTTCTAGTAATCAGTAGTTGCTGATTTGATTCCCGGCTCATCCAGTCCGGTCGAAGTGTCCTTGGGCAAGATACTACCCTGTATGGGGGTGAGCTTAGTGACATCCTGAGTGCTTTGTGTTGTAATGCACTTTGAGTGGCCCGTAGACCAAATACAAGTCCACTTACACCTGTGTCTTTTGTGATATGGCAATTAAAATTCTAATTAATGTACAAAAATGAATGTACCTGCATAATTCCTTTAAGGTGTGCCTCCTTTATAATGAATAAGTAGTCCCTGATCATTTAAAACAGCATGCTACAATGCTGTATAACACTGTTTATGATCATTTAGCATCAGAGCCATTACTATATAGTTTTATAAGATAAGCACAGTTCCCTACTATCTCAACATTTAGTGTGCTTTATGGCACATTGGAGCAAACCATCTATTCAGAAAATGTGTTGTTTTTTATCTTCCTAACTACTGAACTGTTGACAAACAAACCAGCTTCACAAAAACTCGTGTATTGTGTTAAAATTCAGTTTCTTAATTAAGCGTCACATGATAGAAGTTTTTCAGCTGCTAGTCATACAATAGAGTGGCATGAAGAAGTAAGAATGAAGTGGCACTGCGGTGCAGAATAAGTATGTTGACGTTCTCTCCTTTTCAGTGTCTGGGGAAACTCAGACGTGAACAGGAAGAGGAGACCAAGGCCCTGAACCACCATCAGCACCAGAGGAATGCACAGAAAATAACCCGGTCAGCGCTGGCTAAACTCCTTCCTGAAGTCCAGGTACGAATGCCACTGAGACGTGGTTTTGTTGACATAGCATCCAAAGTCAAGAAAGGAAAGTAGTGAAGCCCCACACGACTGATTTGTATCCTCTGTGTGTCTGTGGCAGGCCGTGAAGCAGGACCTGAGTGAAGTTTTCGCAGTGTATTTGAGTTTCGCCACGGAGCTGGAGGAGCAGAGCAAGCAGCTGCTGGAAAAAGTGGGGCAAGCCAGCTGTTCTTTAAACGGTCCCCGTGGAGACGAGGTTAAGAGTGAGTATCTGAGTGTGTGGCTCTTTAGGTTAACATATTTTGGCATAATTCAGTGAGCTGGGGGTGAGCAGGGCCATGCAGCTATTAGAAGAGCAGCATCTTAAGGCCTTCACACCGACCTGTGATAGTGTCCAGTTTGAAGAAGCCAAACATTGGATCAGTGTTGTAACAGGACACTGTGACATTGCATAAGTTAGGTTTTATTTTGACCACACTTGACTGCTGAGAGGCCTCTGGACTGGACTGGACTGGACTGGACTGTAGAGTTTACCTGAGAGGATTTTTGGGGTGATACCAGTAGCTTCAATCTAACAATTCAAATAATGATGTATCATCTAATACTTATAATACTTATATGTGAATATTTACAAATGCACATATTGCTGTTATGTGCTACTCTGATGCTGCAGAGTATTACAAACCAAACTGTCAGAAGTTATTTGAATGATCTTGTTGTTATTCAGAGGAAGATGTTTTGTTGTCCCTCCCCTCTGGTCTCACTGCTCGCTCATTCACCCTCTCTGTGTCCCTCCATCCTAAAGTGGTTTACTGGTTACGTGCTGGCTGTATCTTGATTACGGTGTGTTTACTGGTAATCCTCTCACACCGTCCCTCCCCTCTTCTCTCTTCTCTCTCCCCCCCCGCCCCACCCCCGCCCTTTGAGTGCGTCCAAGGTTGACTGTCCTGTTCTGTGCAGCCCTGCCAGTCAGCTGGCTCACCGTGGCTCTGATGATTGGTGAAAACTGATGGCGTCAAATACTTTGGCCCACATAAGCCAGAGCACACGCTGTTTATAATACTGCGAGCTGCGAATGGCTTTTCTTGACCTTTTATTGTTGATGTTAGTTGAAGAATGGATCTACTTACCTGCAATGGACATAACAAATTCTATGTTAGTATCGGCCCCTCAGGATTGTAATTAAACTGCTGGGATATTTTTTAATACACTACATTTAAGTCACATTTTATCTCCTACTTTTGCAAATGTGTTATTTATTGTAGGGCTGTTAATTGATTTCTAACTTCATACTTTGAGCTTTGGAATATTTTATAATTTATAGAGCTGCAATGGCTGTGTGGGGAGGTTTTTTTTATATCAACAAGTAAGAGGTTTTTCATTTAATAGAATAATAGTGTCAAACTCAGATAACCCAGAGACAAATCCTCAAGCTGTTTTTATGTTTTTTTTTATTTACTCGATTGATTTTCTTACTCATTAAACCCAGTTTGCTGGAAACATGCCAAACAAACAAATAAATTAATTAATTACAGGTCCACACATCCACTTATTGTTCTGAAGGCTTTAAAGTAGAGACATTATTTATGAGAGAAGATATTTGAGTGAGTGTTGTTACTGTTACATGGACTTTTTGTGAAAATAATTTATATTTGAAATCATCTTTAAACAAAGAGAAAATATCCCCTTCATTCTACACTATTCTGTTCTATTTACGTTCAATCCAGCCTATTCTTGAATGTCTCAGCCTGTCCTGTGTGAATGAAGGTGTTTGGTGCCAGGTGTGTGTATATACATGTGTGCACCAGGATTAAAGACTTGGCCTGAATTCAGAGATTTACACCAGAGAACAGATGCTTCTATCTTTCTGTCATTCACTTTACTTGGGTCTACTTTAAGATGGTTTGAGCTACAGGTTTTGAACTGCACCGCATCAGATTCCACTACAAATCTGACCCAGTGGCACACATATCTAATGTAGTGTAGATGCAGCCAGTGGAGGCTTTTCTGTGCAACTCTTGCTTATTTATTGTCTCAAAATGACCACAATGGCTTAACCTCTAACCTCAGTCCACATTAGAAACCTCCCCATATTTAATTTCGATTGGACTTTTTTTCCCCCTTTTAACCACCTTTCTGCTTTCCCTGCCCAGATTTACAAGCTCATGTTGAAGCTCTGGAGCGCTCTCTGGAGGAGGAGAAGGAGAGGTGCAGGGCAGAGAGGCAGAGGAGGAAAGAACTCCATAACACACTGGTGGTGAGGACAAATTTTAGTGTCAAGTGTTAAAAAGTAATGAGTTACAGATGTGGTTTAGTAAGAGCTCCAGTAGGGGTCTCAAACTGAAAGAAAGTGGAATATTCTCAAAAGAAA